GATATAATATTGAATTTAAATTTAAACAATATTTCAATTCAAATAATTAATTTTTTTAAATAAAAAATTAAAGGCAGCAAAATTATTGAATTTTTTTGTTTAAAACAAAATGATATATATATATAAAGTTAAAGATGATCACATGAGAATAGTAAAAAATTTGTTTTTATTGTAAATAGTTGAACAAAGTGGTCACATGTAAATAGTACTAATATACTTTCAATGCTATAAATTGGACTCTTGTATTCATATTCATATTACTTTCAATCTTTCAATCTACCAATAATCTTAGGTAAATAAAGTCATTTGAATATTATGGGAGAGTCTAGCCAAAATTTCAGTCATTTTAATTTTTTCTCATCGGATTCAACTAATAGGTAAATAAAGTAATGTTTTCTTATTTCTTAAAAACTATTTTTCTTATATGTAATATATTTATAAGATTATTATTATAGGTATGATCAAATTCAAAATGCTGTGAATTATTGTACACAAATTGTAAATAATAATGTTATGGGTGATGAACGAGTTGGTGAGTTACACAATGATGAACCTTCCGAGCATGAATTTACAGACAGTGATGATATGTATGACGGCGATGATGATAATGTGGATAATGCATCTAATGCATCCGTTGAAGATCAAAGTATTAATTATCATTCTACAGCGATTCCATACTTAGATCACACTGACGAAAATGCAGAAGATTTTATCTACACGAGAGATGACGGTTCCATTCGAACGGCACTTTGAAATTCAAACAATCCTAAACATATCCAATCGGGTTCGATTGTTGAAAACTAAATATTTTATAGTTGTTTATTTATTTATTTATTTATTTCATGTTGATTAATTTAATTTGTATATGCAACTAGGTATGTTATTTATGAATAAGATGCAAATGGAATCTGCAGTAAGAGCATATAGTCATGCTCTTAAAAAAGAATTTCTTTGTGATCAATCCAAAAGTAAAAGTTGGAAAGTTATTTGCAAGCGTCATGAGTTAGGGTGTGATTGGATGATTCAGTTTAGAGAGATTTCAAGCGGTATGTGGAAGACAGGAAAAATGATTGAACCGCATACTTGTCTTATAGATAACTATAAGGAGGATCATTTCAATTTGAATGATAAAATAATTGCCACTTCATTAATACCATATGTTATGCAAAATCCGGACATAAATATTAAGATGATCCGTGAAATTATCAAAGGAAAACATCACTATACTCCTAGTTATAGAAAAGCACAAAAAGGTCGAAGAAAAACATTTCGAATGGTTTATGGTGATTTTGAAAGTTCATTTAAGGCATTACCTCGATACATGGCTGCACTACAATTATTCAATCCAGGCACTATTATTGAGTGGG